CCTTTACCTTTTTTTACCCATATTCCCCACTCTATCCCTCATCCAAGCAAGCAAAGAGTATTGCCAGAACTCAAGCACACATTCCAGCTAAGCAGCAACTCTCAAGGGGGGAGCAAAGCATGGGTGGTGAGGGGGCGTGGTTTGGGGAGAGGGATGTGCAGTTTCGGGGTGACTTAGGGGGGCTGGGGCCATATCTCCCCACACTATTTTCACTGCTATCCTTACAGTAGCCTAAGTCTGCAAAGCCACTAAACTGCTCCAAGTAAAAAATTACAGAAAACTTAAAACAACAACAACAAATGATCAATCACACACTTTGAGAAATTTTCATCTCCCCCCAATTTATTTTGATGGCAAAGTTTTTAGTTCCCCCGGTACAGATCATGTGCCCAGAATACAGTCCGCTGGGCTCTCTTTTAAGTCTGTGTGATTTCGTGCCCCTCTTTCTTGGCTACTCAGGTCTGGTGCAATTTCAGTCATGAACTAGACCCTGGAATATATTGCCACGGATTAGTACTCTCACAGCCTTTTCCAGAAATTGTTTGTGGAAGTGTTTGCTAGAGGCCCCCGACATTTACACAACATTATACAGACAGATTATCAGCTGCCCTGAGAAGGAGAAGTTGCCGGTCCAAGTTCTACCAAGAAAAACAAACAAGAGAGTAGTTCAGAAAAGGGTAGAGGATAAGAACAACAGAAAGCCAACAGTGATAACAGTGTGTGCCCTCTTCTGACTCCCGGGACCCAAAAGTTCAAAGCGCTGTGCCGACATCCTAATCTGTTATCTGCATAGAGGACAAAGTGAGTGATCGTGTTGCCTGCGCCTTCAACTCCTGGTGTATGTTTGACACCCACGTTTACACAGTGATCTGGATGCATAGGCTCAAATCACATGAGATGCAAAAAGCAACCCTCCTAGCCTCTCTTTCAGACCTTTGGGGCTCCCTTCAGGCCACATCCCAAACCGGCCAGTTTGTACCCTCCATGACTGTTTTCCCCTGGCTGGAACGTGCCCTTGCAGTTTGATTAACGTCTTCTGCTTGTCTTGATGAAGGATAGCGGAGCATGTATAGAAAGTAGCCAGCCGTACCAAGACAATGCAAGGCTTAGATCTTCATGCAGTGCACAGTTAAACTACAGTGGTACCTCGGGTTACAGACGCTTCAGGTTACAGACTCCACTAACCCAGAAATAGTACCTCGGGTTAAGAACTTTGCTTCAGGATGAGAACAGAAATCACGCAGCGGTGGCGTGGCAGCAGTGGGAGGCTTCATTAGCTAAAGTGGTGCTTCAGGTTAAGAACAGTTTCAGGTTAAGAACGGACCTCCGGAATGAATTAGTTCTTAACCCGAGGTACCACTGTATGGGACTTGCTCCCCCAGGAGGCTGCAATGGCCTCCAATTTGGGTGGCTTTAAAAGAGGACTGGGCAAATTTGTGGAGGGGAAGATCATCTCAAGCACTGAGAGTCTATGTGAACAGATCACTGTGGGGACACTGAGTGTCAATGTGTATACAGTGTATACAATGTGTATACGTGATTCCACCTCTCTGCATGTGTTAGTTAGAAGAACTGGCATAGGGTTCTAAACTGAAATATGCTAGCACCAGATACAGACAGGAAAAAAGGACAGCTTTATATACTTGTATTTTCAGTACTAACAAATAAAAATCTGTGGGTTGTATCCACTGCTAGTTGTACTCGGAGTCGACCCATTGAAGTTAATGGACTTGACTAACTTAAGTTCACTAATTTCAGTTGGATACAATTCTGTGGCTACAGTCTTCATATAAGAGAGCATTATTCTACTTGAGTAGACCCACTGACATTAACAAAACTAAATCAGTCATTTACACACACACACCCCAAATCACTATCCACGAAAAATCTGACACACTAACAATAGTTTTCATTTCTAGTTCTGGTGACCACCATGAGTCAAATGCTCTCACTTAAACCAATTGGGCATTAAAGTTGGTTTCCTGTGTTCAGTTTCTCCTCCCATCATTAGACAGATGATATCCCTAGTTACCATCTCAACACCATGCAACAGCTACCCCAAGATGCTCCATGAAATAACAAAAATCTGCACAGCAAGTAAAAATAACTACAACTGCACACTATCAGTGCTGTTAGAAGTAGAATATCACACTCAGTCTGCTACTAGAACAGGATTATGAGGGAAACGTGAAGGCTGTGTAGAAGCAACAAGTGGTGAAAAAATGATTGAGTGCTTTTTCACCTTAAATCCCAAGCCGGATGGTCTTTTGATCCTGGTTTTATACGTTGAGGAGCATTTATCCATATACACCCATCTCTCAAGCAAATGAAAGATGTCAATGAGGCTGGGAGGATTCCCAAACTGAAGGCACATCTCACAACCTAGAGACCATTGTCCTAAATTGTCCCCAATGTATCATTCAGGATGGATCCATAAATGATTAATAGACAGTCTGATGCATGGGTAATAAACTGCTAAGGAACTGGGAGGGGAAAGTGCAGGATGTGTGGATCTGCCAGTTTCAGTTCCTTATGTTGTTTTCCCAACCTTATATTTAACTCTCCACATTTCTACATCATCGTTTTGTTTTTGACTGCAATAAACATTGCCTGATTGATTTTCATGAAAATTCATCAGCATTTTGGTGCAAATTTCTCCTAATATACACATTTCATATGCTATTTTGCCTGAAATACACATTTTTTTGCAAGCCATTTCCCCTAATATAATGCATTCTGTATGTTATTTTCCACTAATATAGACATTACCATGCATCCTTTTAGTATATGCATTTTCGTATCCATTACTTGGCTGAAAAACTGCACTGCAAAATTCAGAGCAGTGCAAATTTTGAAGGGTAGCTGTGTCGCAGCTGACAGATTGTTCCAGAGAAAGTGTGAATTATGTAGATTCACCTTTAAATGCAAACCAAATCAAATTTCTCCCCTCTCCCTAAGAGTAGGTCAATAAGTCACTTATAATCACAGATTCTACACAGGTTCTACCAAACTGCTTAGAGTGCACAACCACAAGCTGTCTCCAGATTCAAGTGCGCATCATGGTTTACAACACATTTGTTAACTCCTCAGTAACCAGGAATGTGACTCGCATTGGCTGTTTTCTCACGGCTCTCCTTTCCCAGAGAGCAGGTTCTGTTAACTAAGGTTTCCGTTGGCCTGTTGAGTGTCATTCCACATCTCCATGTGTTTGATTAAAGAGTATGATCTTAACATTGTTTCGGCAATGCGATGGATGCATTTCAGAATGCCTGAGCCGCTTTGAACTATGGAAAAGGTGGTTGGCAAATACAGTAAGGAGATTAAAGTAAACAAATGTTCCTCTCCTTCGGGATGGATTAAGAAAAAACGGTAGGGGAGCAGAACTTGACTGGAGAGATTAGCTGCAGAGGCTTATTGTAACCAGGCAGCAAAGGAAAGGGAGGGGTGAGGCAGGAAAGAAACCTTCCCTTCTAGATGAGAGTTTAACTTGCACCTCAGCTCACATCTGAATGATATCAAGCACCTCTCACCCACTGAGCAGAGACAGGGCATTTGTGGCCCTCTAGATGATTAATATGATGCTCTCACCAGATGTTGTCAGACTCCCCATTTTCATCAATCGACATGCCAAGTGGTGATGGGAATTGTAGTCTAGCAACAGCTGGAGTCCAGCAACAGCTTTCTCCAACCCATGTAGAGCATTTAACCATCTTTCCTAACTCCTCTCACCGCTATTCTGTGAAGATTATTTCTAAGATTTTCCTTTGGGGGGGGGAGGGAATCAGAACCGAAACACACAAGTGTACTATTTATTTTATTTTGTTGCCCGCAGGGGCAGCTTAGGCAGAGAGAGTGGCCATGATCCGCAATCACCCAGAGAACTTCATGGAATGGAAGCCCTGCTCTCCAGTGTCTCAACACAACTGCTACACCACGCTGGCTCTCACCAGCGGCAGTGGATCTATGGCAGAAGTGGGACTTCCAGGTGTTTTTAGAACCATACAGAGCTATTCATTCACTGCCCATACACAGCAATTAGCCAGAACCACGCAGCAATTGACTGCAACCACACAGCCCATAGGGCAGCATACATGTCCTCTCCCATCCTGGCACTGACCAGAGCCAGACCCATTTAGCTTCAGCAAGGCGGTGGCCTCATGTACCATCAGACCATACACTGGTACCACCTACCCACATAAGCTTCTATGCAGACACAGACCTCAGGTCACAATCATGCGCCTGGGCACAAGTCCAGCACTGGTGGGATTTATCTCCAAGTAAACACGCATAGGAGTCAGCTTGCTAGATTCTCACCTAAAGCGAGCCCTCTCTACGATCCAAACTCTACCCAAGCCCAAGATTACAGCCTAGCTGGTTTTACTGCGTTAATCCGGAGTGAACTCACACCGCCGGGTTCTTGCCCAGCTGCTGACAATCCTTAACGAGGATTATTAGAGGATCTCCAGTTTCCTCCATCAATCGCAGAGGAAAAAACTAAACCGACCAAAGACCCTACTCCAGTTGCACGCTGATTAGCCAGGTTCTTAGGGAGGGCAACTAATTCGCAGTAAGCGAGCGGAGTAGCCCTCTGCCATCCCCGGGGTTAGATAGAGAGCACAAGTTCGCCTTTCAATGCAGCCGAGCGAATTGCGCCGCCCGCACTCTTCGCCTCCTTGGCGCGAGGGGTCGCGCAGCACAATCCTATTCACGATCCACCCCATCAACACCCTCAAAAAAGTGCGTCCCCAGCTGCGCTAGACGGAGCTTACTCGCCGGGAAGGATCGCGGCCACTTCGGAAACTCCAGGGAGATGGGGACGCGGGGCAAGCCGGGGCGCGTCCAGGCGGAGGAAGGAAAGCGCCTCCGGAGGCGCACCTGAGGCGCCCAGGGGAGACCCCGGCCGACGGGCTGGGCGAAGGCTCGGGCCCCGTCGCCCCGGGTGGAGAGCCGCGCTCTCCTCGCCCTCCGTCCGATCCCTCCCGCCGGACCACCTCACTCACCCAGCAACGCAGCCAATCCCAGCGCCAGCGGCAGAGGCTCCATCGCGCCCGTTCCCCGAGGAGGCGCCCGACGCGCGGCGAGGAGAAAAGCGAGAGTAGCAGCAGCAGGTGCAGGAGCCGGAGCCCGGGAGCTGGGGCGAGGGGGAGGCGGGGAAACCGGAGGGGGGAGGAGCCACTGGAGCGGGGGCGTGTCCGGCAGGTGGGGGAGGGCAGGGGGCGGCGCCCCGGGAAAAGGGAGGAGCCCCGTCAGGTGCCAAGCGGGCGGAGCGCACAGGTGGCGGTTAGAGACGCCAGAGGCGAGGAAGGGATCCGGGGTTGCAGCTCTTGTTTGGAGGAAGCCGACTGTGATCACCAGCGACGGCTTCTTGCTCCGTCTTGTTTTTCAACCCTTCCAGATCGCAGAGGCGGGGGCTAAGCAAGGGCGTTTAAGTTGCAAGACACCCGCCAAGCAGGTAGAGAACTGGGGCCGATTTGGGATATCGCTGCAACTGGTGATGCTGGTGGATGGCAGCTTGCCCGCTTGACGCCGTCGCTGCCGGTGGAGCCAGGAAGAATGGGGGGGGGGGGGAGGCGAAAGAAAAAAGCCTAACGCGATCCTTTCATTCGGACCCACGAAGAAGTCAGCGAGCAGCGTAGATATCTTCGCCAGAATCCCTGACCACTGGTCCTGCTACCTAGGGATCAGGGGTGCCAACTTGAATAAAACATTGGGGGCGGGGGCAGGTAAACTCCACCCCGCATAATCATTCACATGATGCAGCACACGCACGCTATTTGAATGGCAATCAACGTGGGGGGGCGCCTCTCTCAAATATTTTATGGGGAGGCAGAAGACCCCCTCAGCCCCTTGGCTCCTGTGTGCATAACCAATCACAAGATGGAGTGCACACACACCATTTGAATGGCGATGCCCATAAACGGGGGAGAGGGGCTCAAAAAAATTAATGGGGGGGGATTTAATGAGGAGTTGGCTCCTATGCTGGAGATGATAGGAGTTGTAGTCCAAAAGCAGCTGTCGAGCCAAGTTTGGGAAGTCCTGGATTAAGCATAGACCTTGAAAATGCCGGAATTTGTCAGTTTAGTTGATTACGTATTTATTTACTTATTCGTCTATTGCTTTTCTTCCAAGGAGCTCAAGCTGATATACTTAGTTCTCTCCTCCGCTCCCTCCTCGGGTGGTGACTCTGCTTGGCATGCAGAAGGCCGCAGGTTCAATCCTCCATGGCATCTCCACGCATGACTGGGAGAGGCTCCTGTCTGAAACCCTGTGAGCCAGGGCAGGATTTACCGAGCTAGAAGGATTAAAATTCTAACTCGGCATAAGACTGCTTCCTGGGTTGTTTTACCGCCACAACAACCCCATGAGGTAGGTTGGCTTAAAGCTAAAGACCTAGGTAAGGCCACCTAGGCCTAAGTCACCTGAGTTTCACAGGCAAGGGGGGATTTGAACCTGGGTCTCCCTAGTCCTGGCCTGACCCTCTAACCACTGCATCACCTGGAAACCAAGCCTTAGGAAGAACAGTTGGGGGGGGGGGTTGGGTGTGTTTAGCCTGCAGAAAAGACTGAGATATATGATAGGTAAAGGGACCCCTGACCGTTAGGTCCTGCTGTGGACGACTCTGGGGTTGCAGCGCTCATCTCGCTTTATTGGCCGAGGGAGCCGGTGTTCAGCTCCCTCATGTCATGTGGCCAGCATGACTAAGCCGCTTCCGGCAACCCAGAGCAGCGCACGGAAATGCCGTTTACCTTCCCACCGGAGTGGTACCTATTTATCTACTTGCCCTTTTGATGTGCTTTCGAACTGCTAGGTTGGCAGGAGCAGGGATCAAGCAGCGGGAGCTCACCCCATTGTGGGGATTTGAACCACCGACCTTCTGATCGTCAAGCCCTAGGCTCTGTGGTTTAACCCACAGCGCCACCTGCATCCCTATGATATGATAGCCATCTTCAAGTATCTAAAGGGCTTTCACGTGGATGGTGGAGCAAGCTGATTTTCTCCTGCTTTGGAGGCTAGGAGTCAAATCAATGGCTTCAAGTTACAAGAAAGGAGATTCCAACTAAATGATCAGGAAGAACTTTCTGGTGCTAAGAACTGTTTGACGGTGGAACAAACGCCCTCGGAAGGTGGTGGGCTCTCCTTCCTTGGACTTCTAAAAGCAGGCGTTGGGTGGCCATCTGTCATGTTTGATCAAGCTGAGCATCTGGCATTGTAGGGAGTTGGACCAAAGGACCCTCAGGGTCCCTTCCAATTCTATAGAGGCAGCTTTTTATGCTGACTTTAGGAAATTAGCATGTGCTTGGTACAAACAGGGCCATGGTATGTAGATCTTGCATATAACTGCCATCTTCTGTCAAGCTTTCCGTTTTCTCCACCAGCATGGGGAACCTGTAGCCCTCCAGATGTTGCCGGACTCCCAGTTTCCACCGGCCCCAGCCATCATAGCTAGTGATCAGAGATTATGGTAGTTGTAGTCCAATAAATTCTGCAGGGAGCATGTTGGCTATCCCTACTATATACTCAAGGATGTGTGTGTCTTATATACCTAATAATAATAATAATAATAATAATAATAATAATAATAATATAGCAACAACAACAACAACAATAATAATAATTTATTATTTATACCCCGCCCATCTGGCTGGGATTCCCCAGCCACTCTGGGCAGCATCCAACAAAATATTAAAATACAGTAATGCATCAAATATTAAAAGCTTCCCTAAACAGGGGGAGGCTGTGGTCTAAACCTCTGAGCCTCTTAGACTTGCCTGTCAGAAGGTTGGTGGTTTGAATCCCCGTGACGGGTTGAGCTCCAGTAGCTCTGTCCCAGCTCCTGCCAACCTAGCAGTTCGAAAGCACGCCAGTGCAAGTAGATAAATAGGTACTGCTGTGATGGGAAGGTAAACGGTGTTTCTATGCGCTCTGGCTTCCGTCATGGTGATCTGTTGCACCTGAAGTGGTTTAGTCATGCTCGCCACATGACCCAGAAAGCTGTCTGTGGACAAACACTGGCTCCCTTAGCCTGAAAGTGAGATGAGCGCCACAACCCCATAGTCGCCTTTGACTGGACTTAACCGTCCAAGGGTCCTTTACCTTTTTACCTTAACACTTCATACACCACATAGTTTCTGCTACAATAATTGTGTTCCTCTTTAACAGAGCTGCAAGATGCATTGTTTTGGGGACTGACTAGCATGGCTACCTCTCTGAGAACTGGGAATACTCCGCAGCATCCTTCCCCAACCTGGTGCCCTCCAGATGTTTTGGATTACAGCTCCCACCAAACCCAACATTTGGAGGCTGCCCTAGATTACACTCCTGCTAGCTTGCAGGAGGCTGCCCTAGATTACACTCAATAGGTGTAAGCCACCTCAGCTGACACACGTATTTGCAGAGTTGCTTTGCGTAGCTGTGTTCTCAGTCTGGCAAGTTTCAGTCTAAAATAAGCAGGAAAGTGTCACTCCCTTATTAGAAGCACAAAAATGCTCACACCCCTGACTGCATGGAGTCAAAATGAGCACTGTGCGGTATGGCTGTACTGTAGTGCTTCTCTTTAAAAGTTGATGGCCCTTGAATATTAAGTACACTGAACCTTTGTTTTCTTTTGCAAAATCCACAGGGATTTTCTTATGCTGTGGATACTCTGGAAAGGAGAAGGTATGAGGAAATCTGGATTGTGGAGAGTGTGGGAAGGCATTGATTTGGAGGAGACTGCCATGTGGACAACAGAATGAATGGAAGCAAAAGAAGCTTGCTATCCACAACATGGATGAGTCCCATTTCATACCGAATCAGACCATTGAACCTTTAACCTCCCTGGAAGCAGGGTCCAAGAGAGGAGTCTTTTGTAGCCCTACCCGGAAATGCCAGGGATTGAATTTGGGACCTTTACCCCCCCCCTAGACTAGCATTTGCTGTGCCCAGTGCTATTTTTCTAGAAAGAGAGGTGCCAGAACTCACCATGAAAGCTTCCTTTGTTCTCTTATAATGGCAGTGGCACCCACCTGAGAGGTGCTGGAAGTCAGTTCTGGTGAGTTCCGGCTGAAAAAGGCCTTGACAGTGTCTACTCAGTTGTGGCCCCCTTCCCCTGGCATACTCACATTTAGGATGAGTCATCTCCCTGCCACAGTGGAGGAAGAAGATTTAGCCCTGTCAGTCTTCGCGGATGCATTGAATACTCTGCAACCAGTTCATAAAGAGCTTTTACAAGCAAGCATGTTGGCACGCTATAGCTGCTGGTAGGGTAGAATGCCATTGTCCCCATTTTGCAGATGAGGAACTGAACCTGCTCACGGTTTACCCAAGGATTGGGTTTATGCCTAGTGATTATGTAGTTGAGCAAGAAAAGGAGCCCAGGTCCAAGTCACTGGATGGCCCTAATCCAGGATGCATGAAGCAATGCTTAGTTATTCGTCTCAATCCTAAATATGCAGAGGAAAGAGAGCTGTGTTTTATAAACGCTTACTTCTGAGCAGGGCCTTGATTCTTGGTTGCCATAAAAGTCCATTCCCACCAGTTATTTCTCAACAGGCAGGATGTGAAAGGGGCACCCAAATCACACTACTTGGGTCACACTTCGTCCTGGGAAATTGTCCTGGCTTGATCGAGGGAGAAATGCTTCCCTAGTCTGTGTATTTAAAAATGCATAACGTGGAAAGTTGTGGAATGTTATGCTTGGCATCGGAAGGAATGTTTACATCTGAAACTTGGACCCCGTTGCTCAAATGTCGGTCCTTTGCGGTGGAGAAGCATGTGGCCATCTTTTCCTCCAGGTAACTTTTGAGCTGGACACTCCATGTAGGGACCTCTCCATTCAGGTTGTTCAGAGATTCCAAGAAAAAAAAAGTGTTGGTGGCCAAGAGAGATGGGGGCAAAGTAGGACTTTTAATGTGGCAAACTCTTTACAAGGCTCACTGATCAGAGGGGTGAAGCAAAAGCCTTATAAGGAAAGGTCACAGCATTTAAGGCTTTTTGTTGTGAGAAAAGGTAGGAGGCAACCTGATCATAGAGTTATAGACTCAGGGTGGAAGACGGGGGGGGGGGGGGAAGGTCGAATTAGCTGGTTCTGCCTGGCACGGGCTCCCCCTACTGTTTGGCTCCTTGCCTTCCAGCTCACCAGCCCA